GTCTCTTAGTAACTCTGCTCCAGATTGTGTTTTGTCTTTATCCATTGTAAAGAATAGTCTCTATTATGAAGAGATCAAAAGGAAAGAAATGGGCATTGATACCTTACAGGCCCTTGTCACATAGAGTAGGGGTAAAAGTAAAAGCAGAGATCCTAAATGACGCACTGAAGGAAAATTTAGTTGTTATCATTGTGGTAAGGAATGACAGATGAAATGAAACTGTAGAATTTGGAAAAGAGAACAGAATAATCAAAAAAATGCAAATGATCATAATACCACAGCAATTGTAACTGATAATGAAGAACTGGTTGCACTTTCTTTTGTTGAGGATCATGATCATGTTATTGATCTTGATACTGAGTGAGTTATTGATTCAGCAACATCCTACCATGCTACACCCAGGAGGGATGTCTTTACTATGTATAAAGTATGAAACTTTGGCAGAGTAAAAATGAATAATATCAGTTATGTAGATATTGTGGGTATTGGTGATATTTGTGTACAAACAGATGTTGGTTGCACATTGACTTTGAAAAATGTGCGACATGTATCTGATTTACGCTTAAATCTAATTTCTACACACGCTTTGGATCTTGATAGTTATTACAACTCATTTGGTGGTAGAAAATGAAAACTCATCAAAGGTTCAATTGTTATTGTAAAGGGTAGACTGTGTCACACACTATACAAGACTCAAATTAAGATAATTAGAGATACTCTGAATGCAGCATAAAAAGATGTTTTGCCAGATTTGTTGCATAGGAGGTTAGCTCATATGAGTGAGAAAGGATTACAGATTTTGACAAAGAAGTCTCTCATTTTCTTTGCCAAATGTACAAGTTTAAATTCTTATGATGATTGTTTATGTGGTAAGAAACATAGAATTTCTTTTAGTGATTCTTCTGAAAAAAAAAATGAATGTACTTTAGTTAGTTTATTATGATGTATGTGGTCTCATTGATGTGGAATCATTAGGAGGCGGTAGATACCTTATTACATTTATTGATGATGCTTCACGAAAAGTTTGTGTATTTGTTTTGAAAAGAAAAGATCAGGTTCTACAGTGTTTCAAACAATTCCATGCTATGGTAGAAAAAGAAAAATGAACACTTTTAAAGTATTTTTGCAGTGATAATGGTGGCGCAAATACACTTCAACAGAATTTAAAAATTATTATTTACAGTATGGAATCAGTTTTAAAAAGGTTGTTCCAGGTAGCCCTCAGCGCAATGGTGTTGCTGAAAGAATAAATAGAACCATCCTAGAGAAGATAAGATACTTGTTAAAAATGGCTAATCTACCAAAACAATTTTGGGTTGAAGCACTCTACACTACTTAAT